ACAAAAAACAATAGAAACGGTGACTTTATTAATAGAGATCAAAATGCAGAAAGGAAATCAGTAATTAATATCCTTATATCATGGACCAGATTAGGAATCAGGAGTAACATATATTAAACCTTTTGGTTAAATAAACATTTCCCCTGTCAGGAAGATGGGCGCGGGAGTTCAGATTTTATTCCAGCACTGATTTAAATGTGAGATCAACTCACTTTAAAATGTTCATAAATATTGCATCTTAATTTTATAGTTTATCATTGTTCTACTACACTTGCTTTTCTTCTGCTCCTGTTAGCGTATACGTATGCATGTATATACACACATTCATACATATAACAGTGCAGCTGTGAAACTATTAACAAAATAGTACTACTACAAGGAGTTTTCTTCTCTCAATGGTTGTGTGTGGGGTCCAAGATGCATTATTTGGAAGCAGATAACATTGATAATTCTTCACATACCTTTGAATTGACTAGTTGGGTTGGCCATAAAGAGCTTATAAATTTGTTGTCACTTAACATGGCCATGGAAACTTTTCTTTCCCATTTGCCATTTCTGGTGGGGCTGGAAAATTCAATATTCAGATTTCATATATTTTCAAACAAAACAGAAATTCTATACCTATGATGGTACACTTGGCATCACCCCCACACATAGTAAATAGCTAAAAGCAGGAACTTTGATCATCAGATCCCCTTTTTCCATTCTATCAGATCACTTTTAGGATTCAGCTCTCATTGCCAAAAAGCTGTGCACAACAAAAAGGTTACATGAAGTTGTATGAACACAACACAATGCACACTAACCCATATTGCCCTAGCTATATAGAATAAGTGAAAAAAAGTTAAATATGAAAATCAAAAACTTTCTGTTAACAGCTGCACAAGGACCTATAGTTTATAATCATCTTTTTCTTCTGAGGGCCATCATCAAAAGAAGTGGGAAAGTAGAATAATTCAAAAATGACAAGACTTAAGGAATATTGGTACATAGACAGTTGGGAAGGAATTATTGAAAATCAAATCTATCTAGATTGCTTCTAGGCTTACAAAAGATCAACATACAAATGGGAAAATCTCATAAATCATAAGTCATAAATGTCAAATGAATTTGAGGATACATTTGGTAGAGGAGAAATTTTTTTTTATCTTGGAATCACGATTTACATGAATATAATCGAAAAATGAGTTTTTCGGAAATTTTAATAAAAAGTTATTTAGTAGGCTAAAATATTTCCGAGAATATTAGGTTAATTTTCTGGGTACTATGTTTGGTTGTATTAAATTTTTCCTTAACATAGAAATCCTAAAATACCACCCGTGGGTGGTATTCTTGGATGGTATTTTCAAAAAAAATTACACACAAAATAAAATCCCAGAAAAATTAGATTCCCATAAAATTTTTAAAAATCTCATATCAAATATGGATAACTAAGATTACCACCTTCAGTTTTCCGCGAATCCTAAAAAAACTTTGTACCAAATGCCTCCGATAAAAAAAAAAAAAAAAAACTATCAAGAGAAGGAAAAAGGCACGTGGTCTATAAGAGGGTGTCTCATCAGAGTCTTTACAAAGCCAGCTACTTGCCTAACAGGCACAGCTCATCTTCAAACCCCATTTCATTTAGTGTCCATTTCAAAGAGAAAGAGGATCTCATAATTCTCAAAGATATATATACCTTAAAAAAGGGTATAGTACTTCTTCCTCAACTCACCTGGCAATTCTTATAAATGCATGTACTTTTAATTTAACATAGTTGGTATCTTCTTTTCTTTGTGTATAAGGCTGATTTTCCTTTTCTTTCTTATGATTCCCTTCCTTACTTGGAAGCTTTTATATGTTTATTATGTATGTGCTGTATCTTGCCAAAACTAGCAAAAAAAGGAAGAAAACAAAAACCATTCCGAGTTAGAGAGACCCACACGCATGTCATATACCACGTGGGGCGCATTGCTGCACATGGCTATGAGACATTCTTGTCTAAATCACAAGATTGATGAACTTTCTTTAGTTTTCTTCAGCTAAGTCAGAAAAAAATATCACCCTCATTGAGCCGTTTAACTCAAGCTTCAAGCTCTTGGCTTGTCACCCTATATAGTATATATGTACAAACTGACTGGCTTTTCAATAGTATCACAAACCAAACTCATCAGCACCTTTTTCTAAGTTCAACCAATAAGCATTCCCAAGTTTGACCACTCATTTTCCAGTAACATAGTCAACTATGACTTGATTATTGAGAAAGTGGTTAGTTCAGCTTCTTACCCGACCATATACCCTATTCCCAAAGGAAAAGACAGAAAATGTTACAGTGGATTCTTTGTGGCATTTGTTGTTTTGTTGTCATGTGGGGTAGCTTTTGCTTGAATGGGATTTTAGTGCTGTATTGGATCAAATATCCTGCTTCTCTTGCAGAGGTAAACATAAAACATGGATTCCTTAAACTTAATAGATTTTGCTCTCTACCCCACGTACTAAATAGTGGTCCTGAAAACTGAATCAATGTTTTTTCCGAGTTAAAGTATTCCATGATGAAATAAACACGAAATAAATTCCCTAACACTTCAAAGTTCACAAAGATCCTCTTTCTAGATTAATTTTCTTGAGGTCTTGGTCAAACAATAAAAAAGAATCAAGTCAGCACCACCCATGATAACAATGGAGCATTACAAAGATGATATTATGTTGACAAAATAGATATAGTAGTGTAGGAATCAGGGAACATTTTCACAAGGGGGGTACAAATTCAACAAAAATGCAATATGGGAATGATTACAGTTAGATACGGTTGGATTTTGGGGGGTCAGTTTTTCTTGCATATGTTCTAAGCACATTATAATTGGCCTACAATATGTAAAGGTTTATAATTAGTTCATATGTAATGAGTCATTACAGCATCATTCTGATTGACTCCAATGAGACCATCAAAAGTTCCTAATCAGCTCCACCAAAATAAGGAACACATACAGAAGTCAACTATAAGCTTTCTTTTTGCTTTAGTGAGTGATTACCGTTGTGATTCAAAACCTCCTTAGAAAAAAACGTTATCTTGTTGAACAAATTCCTTTGATGCCGGAACTGAGTATATAAGTCCATTTTAACGTCCAATTCCACTGCAGAATAGTAAAAAGCTCAGAAAAATCATCCTTGAATGTTGCTATATCAACTATCAAGTGTATCTATGCAGGCACAAGACTTTTTTTAAATGAAAAAAAAAATTATATATATATATATATATATATATATATATATATATATATATATATATAATTTTGGGATTACCGGCCAAGATATTACAAAGTTGTCTAATTGGTTACATCAGAGCAAGGTGTCAAAGAATAATTAAGGTCAAATTTTGCTTGCTTCAGAATCTAATTTCATGAAAACTACTTGGAGATGTCTTTATCTAATTATTAGAGTTGAAAGTAACTATAGATTGAAAAAGAACTTTCAGTTGCACAGTAATTTGAGAGGGTGAAAACTATTGGTCATGCTCTTGCATATACAGTAATTGCTTCAATATATTGTGTGGCTTATGGTTCATTAACTGTTGCTCTCACCAAGTTGTTTTTTCTCCAGTCCCCAACAATCATTATGTAGAAGTGTGGCCCTTATGCTCTGCAACCAACAATGGTTGCATTTTGCTAAAATAAGCATCATCCTCTTCCCTCTTTTCTTACCATAGAATCCAAGTTACTCAACGATTATTTGGTTTCTGTCTAATCAGTTTCAATGTAGGAAGAAAAGATGATATCAGTGGTGGGGTGAGAGAGAATGATTGCTAAATCCTCAAAGCTATATATTTAAATAAAATATCTTCAACATGGTGGCTTAATAGTTAATAATATATAGTTTTTCATAGCAGCTGTAAATTTTATTTGAAGAAAAGATCTTCAATTTAAGTAGCTCCCACCCTAGGATTCTCTTTAAAAGAAATAACTACTTATCAATTGTTTTCACTAAACAATTATGCATCAAGCAGAATTACATATTTTCTAGCAAACGGTTCCTAATGTATCAGTTATTTGATTTAAAAATTATCATACCATAAATGATTATAATCATCATAAAGAATAGATCGGGTTCAAGGTGCTAATAACATAATTCAAAAATTAAATATGCAGAATCTTGAAATCTAGCTTTCACTCAAGAAAATGAATAAAGAATAAAATAAAAGTACATGCAAACATCAATACAATGCTCTTAAGTCTTAACTAGTAAGGGGTGGCATTCTCTTTTCCTCCTTTCTTTCTATTTTACTTATTAAACAACCTTTAAGTGGTTGTTGGGTGGAAATAGACACATAGTGGATGGATACATTCATATAATCATATCGATTTTGGTAGTTAAATAAGACTTGACTTTTGAGAAAACGTTTTGGAGGGCTTTCCCTATATTACCACTGAAACCCACCAAATGGAACTTCAGGCTTCATGGGCCCATCCTAATTATTTCATTCTACTATGCTATGCTGCTTACTTTTGCTGGAGGCCTGAAAATCCACTGCAAATTTCACATTTGGGCTCATGTGGGCTCATATACCTTCTGGTTTTGGGTCCAGTCCAATGCCAATGTTAAAGCATTTCAATCATGTGGGCTCATGGACCCTCAAACCCGTGGGCTTATATGGGCTTCAGGATGTGAAACAAATTGTTAACGAGGTAACTTTCACCTCACATAGATGCCAAATATGAATTTCACAAACTGATATGTTTGTGTTGGTAGCATTAAGTTTTGAGCAGTGTTAGCTGGTCCAACCGGTTAATTAAAATTTATAACAGTTATCGCTAAATCAACTTTATTTGTTGGTTATAATATTTGTAGTTTTATTTTTATTAATTTTAGAAGTGTCAGCATCTAACTTTTTTTCTTTTCTCCAAGTTGGAGCCTTGGAATGAAAAACCTTTCTAAACAACTTGATTTGGTATGAAAAATACAAATTGACCCCTTATACGTATTGACTGACTTCTTTAATTTTATACCGTTGTTGTGTAATGCAGTTGGTGCTTCTCGCAAAAGAGCAGATATTTTGAGAGAAAAGCAATTTGATGAGATAGTCAAAAGTATTGCAAGCGATGATGTTCAATCAGGGAGAGGCTTGAATCAAGAAATGAGTTTGTCACGACCACGGGACACACGTTGGAGCTCACATTATCGATCATTGGTAAGTCTGTGTACATTATTTGATCTTGTGCTTGATGTGGTAGAAATTATAAAAGACGATATAACTCTTATGCATGCAAAAAGGTCTGAAGCCTCTGCCCTTATGATGCGTATGCAAACTTTTGAATTTGTATTACTTTTGAACCTGATGATCAAGGTCTTGGCAATAACGAATGAGTTGTCACAAGCACTTCAAAGAAAAGATCAAGATATTGTAAATGCTATGACTCTTGTAAAAGTTTCAAAGGAGTTATTACAGAATATGAGGGATAATGGGTGGGATAATCTATTTCAGAAGACTTCTGAATTTTGTATAAAACATGATATAGATATCCTTGATATGGAAAGTGTACTTGCATTACAAGGGAGAACAAAACGTAGAGGACCAGTTACTCATCTGCATCACTTTAAGGTTGACATATTTTATGCAATGATAGATACTCAACTTCAAGAGTTGAATGATCGTTTTAGTGAAATTAGTTCGAATTTGCTGGAATGCATGGCATGTTTAAATCCGTGCAACTCTTTCTCAGCATTTGACAAGAATCAGTTGTGTGAATTTGCTGGCTTTTATCCTTCAGATTTTGATTTGAATGATTTTGTCATGCTTGAATATAAGCTCGACACGTATATTTTTGATATGCAAAGTGATCCTAGTTTTTTGAATTTGCAAGGAATAACTGATCTTGCCAAGAGGATGGTTGAAAAGAAAAACATATTGTGTATCCTTTGGTTTATTTACTTGTAAAGTTAGCATTAACTTTGCCTGTAGCAACTGCATATGTGGAAAGAGCATTTTCAGCTATGAAATACATCAAAACTGCACTTTGTAATTGGATGGGGGATGAATGGTTGAATGATTGTTTAGTGCCATATATTGAAAAAGATGTATTTGATAACATTGATAATGAGACAATTATGATGGAATTCCAAAAAATAAGGCCTAGAAGAATGACATCGTAATTATTTTTATTGTAATATACTTTTGTTATTAAAATATATGTACTTGAACTTATTGAGTGCCCACCCTTCATCAATTTCCTGGATCCGCCACTGATCGGTGGCCAAATAATTCTAAAATATGTATACAAGATATTAATAGCAGCCCCCACTTGCTCGTGGAATCTTCCATGTTTGTTTAATCCTAAACATGGAAGTTTTCATATTAGAGATTAAACAAACATGGAAGCCCCCAACTTAATCTTTCAAAATTTTAAGAGTACTATAACAGTATTGCCATAGAGGTGAATGCTTCATCCATTTTAAGCATGTAACAATTTTTAATCCATCGACATATATTAGGGTGTATTCCATTAAGATTTTAAAATATTATTTTGAGATAAATTTTTTTACAAATTTTAAAAGATTATTTAAATTGTAGTGACAATAAAGACTTTTTAAAAGATATTTTTTATAATCAAAATTTTATAAGATTGATTTTAAAGAATCTTAATAGAATTTATAAGATTTGAAAGGACAACGTGAATTTATAAAATTTTAAAAAATCATATGAATTTCTAACAAATATTCAAAATTACAGGAGTTAATAAAAAAAATAACAAATAAATGCAATAATATTAATAAAAAATAAAACCTAATATAATTTTCTCAATCAGTAATTTGACGTAACTTTATGTCCTATTGAGCAACAGCTCTCTACATATCTATATTAGCCCTCTACACATTAGCATCTTCTCATTCCCGCTCTTGGGTTTGACCAAAGGATGGAAAATTATCTTCTTTATTTGGTGTCAATGCTATTCATATATGATTATAAGACCACGGTTTTTTATTTATTTAAATAATTCAAAAATTATATATAGAACCTAAAATTCATTATAAAATTTTGTTTGAAATTTTTTGCTATTGATCTTGAAAACCTTGGGGTTTTTGTTTTCCGTGATGAAAGATTTCTAACTATATATCATATGCATGTTTTCATTGAGTATTCTAAGAAAATTTCGAATCTAATTTCTGTGTTTTATTATATGAAAGTTTAGAAAATTTCTCAAATTATTTTCAATTGATACATTAAAACCTTAAATTGCTTTGGGGCTTTTGAAAAATAGGTTTTTAGTGATCTATTAACACAAAAATTATTTGATTTCGTTTCCTATAGCGAAGAAATTTCCTTCATGAATGTATTGTTACGAAACATAGGATTCATATTATCAAAGTTTCAATCTTTCTTAAAATCGATCTCGTTTCATTGATGTAAAACGAAAATTGATTTGGGGGATTTTTTGTTCCCATGTTGTTTTCACACTATTGTTTTTAATACAAAATTCACATCTTTTTATGCTATGAAAAACCGCAACCATAGCTTGACAAAAAATCTGCTATTTTTTAGATGGATTACATTAGAATATTGCTGGTTGTATTTTTGGATTGTTTTGTGATGAAAATCACTAAAAAAAATCTGCCAATTTTAAGCTTTGACGAATCTCCCATGGCGGAACTCGATTTTGAGCAAGTCGATCCACCAAAGGAAGAAAAAGCACTGCAATAGAGAAATCTCAAGAAATCCTGGATATTAGGGTGAGATTGTAAGAAAGACATCATATTTATATTTTTATTAAAAAGTCTCACAAAATTCACACCAATAAAAAATCCACTAAAATCGTTTGAATACAATAAGATTTTTTTTTTGTTTAAAATTTTGATTGAATATCAAGGGATTTGAATGGACTTTAAAATAATCATTTAAAATTTCAATTGAATACCAAATGATTTTTTTTTTTCAATCCTTTAAAATCTTAATCAAATACGAATAAATTTTTTTTGTCTAAAAATAATCCATTAAAATCCTTTAAATCTCAATCCAATATACCCCTTAAATTATTTTATTAACACATTTTTATAACAACAACCTGAAGTATGCACTTTTTCTCTGTCAACTTAATATTTCCATGAAAATGGTTGAATACATTATACAAGTAGTTTTTTTTTGTTTTTTTAAGAAATAAAATAAATAATGTATGTATATTAATGATTATTTTTTTAATACATATTAAACTAATCTAAATATAAACCCACGGGTTCGATTTTTCTGCCTTTTGCACCAGATAAATTTATCTATTAGAAACATGTCTTCACCAAGATTCGGCGTGACAAATAAAGTTTTTTTTTTTACGGTGAAGGCATAAATACTTTTTCCATTAAATTATCACCAAACATCTGCTAAAATATTATTTTTTATTATTATTATTTTTTAAATTTTCTTCCCTCTTTTTGTTTTCTGTCTTAGTGTCTTATATTAATCATGGCCGCTTGAATAAGAATCTTGCAGTTTCTAAAGACAAAGAGGTTTCTGATTAAGATTTGCTTCTTGGGATTTCCTCAACTGAACCAAAAGTTTGTGACTTTAAGAGGTTTTTGTAGTTTCAGTGAGTGACTAAGTTTCCCGCATTGTAATGGGGAAGGTGGCGGTGGGAGCTACTGCGGTTGTTTGCACGGTGGCAGCGTGTGCTGCGGCGGCGCTGGTGGTGCGCCACCGCATGAGGAGCTCGGAGAAGTGGGGTCGTGCGGTGGCTATGGTGAAGGAGTTTGAAGAACAATGTGGTAACCCAATTGAGAAGCTGAGGCAAGTTGCTGATGCCGAAAACCTTGGGAGGTACTCCCTTGGGGAATTCGACCTATAATGGAAATTGGAGGAAAATGAGATGAAAAATATTGTAAAATCAATGGTTGGTGCCTTGGTGTATAAATGAATTAAAATGATTGAGGTAGTTGAAATAAATGAAAAAATAGCCTTAGGCCTAAGTCATTATGTTTATGTTTTAGTGTTGTGAATTGGTTGATTGTTTGCATTTGGTTGATGATCTTGGTATGGATCTATATAGGTCGCCTCTCACGGACACAATAGAGGAGGATTGAACTTGGAGCGTACGTTGGGGAGCTTGCTTCAGAGTTGAGGAAAACTCTTGGTACTTGGGTTTTATCCCTTGTGTGTTCCACCACACCTAGTGGAAGGTTGTGGTTGGATTTTGTGCTTTTTGACATTGTGTGAAATGACATGTTCATGCATTATTGCTTTGATTGTGTGACATATTCTGTGATCTCTAGCTAGTAGATGTGTGTGGTTTGGACTTCCGCTGGAGATATCCCTTTGGGGGATTCCGGTCGAGTTTTGACGTGGCCCCGACTCTGGGAACAACACCAGGATGAGCCAAACGTGGGACTTTCGCTGGATAAGGCTCGTGAGGAGTTCCAGTTTGGTTTTGCCATGGGGTCGTTTCATCTATGGGAGAGGCACCAGGAAGATTCCCGGGAGTTATATGATGGGGTCCTTGAACGGAATCCTTGTATGGATATTCTTGGATGTGAGCCCAGTGTTGTGTGATAATGGTATGTTATGCATTTTATATGATGATCATTGTACGCACATTGAGTGAGCCATAGGGTGGAGTGATCCTCTAGTACCCTTGGTTTACTGAGATATATTTGTATATCTCACCCCGCGTTTGGGGACATCATTTCAGGTCATGGTGAGCATGGAGGACCTTCGGGCAAGAGGCCCGCGTAGTGGAGAAGTGGATCATGATGTGCATATGGAGAGCATTGTATTTTGGAGGATTTTATTTGATTCACATAGCATTACATTTAGCATTTTGGACTTAGATCATGAACATATTGCATGTTGAGATTTCCATGCTTTTGTGGTGTTCATGACTAGATTCTAAGTCTATGTAGTTATTGTACTTTGATGCGTATTGTTCATATTGATATTTTGAGTGAGCATGAGACTTGTCCATGGCCACATACTTTGTGCTTAGAGGCATTTGGAGGCTTGTGTTGTAAATGGACCATTTGATGTTTAAAATGACTAGGAAATTGAGAACTATTGTAATGGATGTATTGGATAATGATTATGCATGATGGAAGGGCCTAGAGCCTACATTAGTTCTTGTGTAAGCTGTAAATTTAGTAGTAAAGTGTCAAGGGTAGATACATAACCCATTTTGTGTTTTAAAAGCTGTCATCTGTCATTTTTACAGTAGGATAATCGATTAGTTTTCTTTGGTAATCGATTACCTGGAACATGGGATGCAAAAATTGAGCCATTATGATCAAGGTAATCGATTACTTTTTCATAGGTAATCGGTTACGGTAATCGGTTACCTAGTTCAGTAATCGATTACCTATGTTAAGGTAATCGATTACCTAAAACAGGAGAGCCCAAATTGAGCTACTGCCTCATTATGAAACTTTTGGTAATTGATTACCTCAAGAAGGGTGATCAATTACCACTGTGTAATTTTTGAAAATAAGTGTTTTTACAACTCTGAGTTAATGGTATTGCCTTGAGGGGTTGTAATTAATAAGTTTTATGCTTCCGCGATTTTTGCATTTACAATTATGGTGTTGCTTTTAATTAATTACGGAATTGGTTAATGTTAACTATAAGGATTTAGCAAAAAAAAAAAGTTTACCCATAATTTAATTAACTCAATGACTGTGATTGTAACTGCGCTTAATACCATATGCAATGATAACATTACCGATACGTAACGTGCTGTTACAGACAGACAAAATTATAGGTAGAATAACATATCCCATATTTAAAATTTTAAAGTATATAAAATATAGGTAGAAAATTATTTAAGTAGAAAATCTAAAAAGAATATATTTAAAAATAATATGTGGCCTTTTTTTAAAGAAGAATAGATTAAGAGATTTAAGTGCAATAATTGGTTGACATATATGTCATTAATTAGTACTAACAAGTATTCCTATTGTACTTTTATTTTTAAATTTAGGTGAGTTATAATTAATATAAATTAAAATACAAGAAGAAAACTATTTAAGTAGAAAATCTAAAAAAATATATTCAAAAATAATATGTAGCGCTTTTTAAGGAAGAAAATATGTGGAGATTTAACCACTATAAAAAATAAATCTAATCCAATATATAAAATGAGTTCAATAAAACATGTTGTCATTTCAAGCACTTAATATTCTGA